GGAGAGTCAGAGGGGCCCAAGAAGGTGTAAGAGCTGCAGGAGCCTGACTGGAGACACCGCGGGAAGAGGAGGGTGCTTTCAGGGTGGAAGCGGCTCTCACAGTCCGTCGCTCGAAGGCCTGGTCCCCTGCCTGCTAGGCGGAAGTGAGCAGGCTCTCCAGGTGTCCCCTCCGTGGTCAGGGCTGGGGCCTCCTGGGCCTTCTCAACTTCCCCTCCGTCCTCATATCCCGTCTCTCCAGTGCCCTCACTGCCTGGCCCCATTTCTGCCCCCAGCTTGGATCAGAGAGGCGGGCCACCCCTCCAGCAGCGACGATGACACTGACGTGGATGTGGAAGGTCTGAGGAGGCGGCGGGGCCGAGACCCCAGCCCATTTCAGCCAGCGGCACCGGTGGTGGACCAGGCCGAGGATGATGGCGTGAGTGGGCAGCTGGGAATCTCTCTCAACATGTGCCTGCTCGGAGCCCTGGTTCTGTTGGGGCTGGGGATCCTCCTCTTCTCCGGTGAGTGGCGCCTCCCCACTGGGCCCGGGGCCCTGTGCCCTGCCGTGTCCCACCTCCCCTCTCCAGCCCGTCCCTGCGGCCCTCACCAGGCTCTGTCTCCGTCCTCAGGTGGCCTCTCGGAGTCTGACACTGGTGAGTGGGGCAGGGCCCCGGCTGTGCTGTCTTCACAAGGAGGGGTTCTCGGCCTCAGGAGTGGGGGTGTGGGCACTGCACATTATTCCTGTTATTTTATTTTATTTTTTTTTTTGGAGAGATTTTCACTGTAGGGCGCGTGCGCTTGCCAGACAGACAGAGAGAGACATAGAGACAGAAAGCAAGAAATCACCCCCCAGGGGGGATGGTCACGCCGCAGTCCCTTCTCCTCCACTCTCCTCTCAGGATCTTGGGCACGCATGCACACACGCCCGGCGTGAGTTTTAAGCCACCGGGTCGGGGACAAGAACCGCGGTCGACTACGTGGGAGTCCAGCGACATAGCCATTACACTAACTGCTGGTTCCCCATTATTCCTGTTATTGGCCTGGTCAGCTGTTCAGAGTCTCTCGGTCATGGGGTGGGTCCTGGGCAGGAGGAGTGACCATATGTGTGGGGGGTGGGCATCCTGTGCTTTGGGGCCAGTTGGAGGACTTTGGGCCCCGCAGGGCCCATGGAGGACGTGGACCTGCAGGTCTTCCCCGACGCTGGGTCGGACACTGAGCTGCTGGATGCTGTAGCAGGTGGGCAGGTACGTGTGAAGGTTCCCACAGGTGTGCCCGGAGGGGGCGCCCAGACTGCCCAGGCTGTGTGGCAGTGCCATGTAGCTGGCTTTTCTGCCGTCAGGAGGGGCTGAGGGAGCAGCTGCAGGCCTCAGCATCCCCTGACAGTGTCCCCAGCCTGCAGAACATGGGCCTTCTGCTGGACAGGCTGGCCAAGGAGAACCAGGACATCCGACTGCTGCAGGCCCAGCTGCAGGTGAGCACAGACAGGAGGGGGTGGACCAGGCCTAGGTGCCTGCCCTAGCATCCTCCCTAAAATCAGTCCCCTCCTCCCCGGCACACCTCAGCTCTGTCCGTTTTCTGTCACGGCCCTGGCATCTTCCTAGTTATCTGTTCGTATCTGTCACTGCTAAGGTTGAGGCCAGGACCAACATATGTGTCTCACATGGCTTGTCACCCCCAATTGATTGGCATGGTCACCTGGAACAAGTTTAGAAAAGGATTTGAAAACATGCCAAGGCTCGTGCCAAGCGCTGTGATCAATTAGCAATGTCTGCTCCGGGTATGGGAGGTAGAAATAGATCAATTAGCAATGTCTGCTCTGGTATGGGAGGTAAAAATAGGGCCACAAGAGCCACATGTCGGCTGTCCTTCAGTGAATCTCAGAAGTGTGTGCTTATTAAGGACATAGACCCTGAGGCCCAGGGTGGAGTTTGGGGCTCCCAGGGCCTGGTTCAGATGGGGAAGAGGAAGAGAACCAAATCCTCTGGGTGTCGCAGACCACAGAAGGGGCTGCAGCCACCTGCCCACTGCAGTGGAATGCAATGGGGGCAGAAGGCATGGGGCCCATCCTGACAAGGATTCCTTGTGGTTTCCCCTATCCTAACCACATTTCAGGCCCAGAAGGAAGAACTTCAGAGCCTGATGCACCAGCCCAAAGGACTAGAGGAAGAGAATGCCCGGCTCCGGGGGGCCCTGCAGCAGGGCGAGGCCTCCCAGCGGGCTCTGGAGTCAGAGCTGCAGCACCTGCGGGCCCGGCTCCAGGGACTGGAGGCCAACTGTGTCCGAGGCACAGATGGGGTGTGCCTGAACTGGGGCAGAGACCCGCAGGCTGGCAAGGCCACCAAGGAGCAAGGCCCCAGGAGGCCAGAGCTGGATCCTGGCTTCCTAGAGCAGAAGAAACAGTTGGAGGCTGAGGCCAAGGCATTAAGGCAAGAGTTGGAGAGGCAGCGGCGGCTGCTAGGGTCTGTGCAGCGGGACCTGGAGAGGAGCTTGCGGGACGCTGGCCGCAGGGACCCGGCTCACGCTGGCCTGGCAGAACTGGGCCGCAGGCTGGCCCAGACGCTGCAGGGTGTAGAGAACTGGGGCCAGGATCCTGGGGTCCCTGCCAATGCCTCGGAGGCCAGGCACCAAAAGCCCCGCTTCCAGAATTCCAAGGAGTGGGATGGACAGGGAAAGTGGCGGGATGGGCAGAAGGACCGGAAGCATAAGAAGGAGGACTCTGACTGGGAAGGGAAGAAGAGCTGGGGAGGCGAGGAGGACAGGGAACTGGCAGGGAGGTGGAAGGAGGGTCGGCCAAGGCCTGAAGAATGGGGAAGCAAGAAGGATACCAAGCGACAGGGCCCCAAGGAACCCCCAAGGAAAAGTGGGAGCTCCCATTCCTCTGGAGAAAGGCAGAAGCAGCCTCAGTGGAGAGCAGGGGCTGAAGACAGCCCTGACCTCCCGGCCGCCTGGGCAGAGCTGTTGAGGCACAAGTACCGGGCCCCACAGGGCTGCTCGGGTGTGGATGAGTGCGCCCGGCAGGAGGGCCTGACCTTCTTTGGCACAGAGCTGGCCCCTGTGCGGCAACAGGAGCTGGCCTCATTGCTGCACACGTACCTGGCACGGCTGCCCTGGGCCGGGCAGCTCACCAAGGAGCTCCCCCTCTCGCCCGCTTACTTTGGAGAAGATGGAGTCTTTCGTCATGACCGCCTCCGCTTCCGGGATTTTGTGGATGCCTTAGAGGACAGCCTGGAGGAGGTGGCAGTGAGACAGACAGGTGATGACGATGAGGTGGATGACTTTGAGGACTTCATCTTCAGCCACTTCATTGGAGACAAAGCGCTGAAGAAGAGGTGGGAAGCTGTAGGGGAATTGTGGGGTAGAGGGGAGGCAGCTGGGGGACTCTGAGGGCTTCTCAGTTTGAGGAGACATATCTATTTTTGGTCCCTGCTGGCTTCCCTGACAAAAGCCATCCAGGGCCAGTAGAGGGTGTAATGGTTAGAGTGCTGGACTCCCACATGGCTAACTGTGGTTCGAGTTCCGGATCTGGCAGCTTGAAAATCACGCTGGGTGCATGTGTGCCCAAAATCTCAGGAGGAGAATGGAGATAGGGGATTGCGGTGTGGCCGTCCCCTGTTGGGGGTGATTTGTCACTTTCCCTGTCTGTCTGTCTCTCTCTCCCATGAGTGTATTTGCCCTATGGAAAAAAAAGGGGGGAAAAAGGCACCCTGCTATGCTTCCTGTCCTCTCTGAGACCAGGAGCTGCCTGTGCACCCCGGAGGGCTCCCCTTTTGGCCCGGGGACACTGTGGCTCCCGAGTCCCGGTGAAAGAGGAATCCTACCTCCTGGACTGCATGCCTGGAGCCTTCGCCCTGGGCCACCAGGTCCCCCCACCACGAGCTTGGTGGTGGCCTCCCAAATGGGCTTGGTTAGGAGGAATGGTGCCCTCTCCTTGGGGAGCCCCTTCTTATCACATGATGTGGTCCCTTGCTGCCAATCCTGTCTCCCCACAGGTCAGGGAAGAAGGACAAGCACTTGCGGAACCCCAGAGTCATGGGGCCCAGAGAGGAGCACAGCCAGCACCACCCCCGCCAACACCAGCACCTGCACCGGGGCTGAGGCCCTGCCCCATCGGGGCGTCACCTCGGCCTGAGCCCGGCCTGAGCTCCTTGGCACTGTGTAGCCCCTGGAGGCCGGGCCCTGTTGGCTCGTCTGGACTCCTTGGATGCCCTTCACGGGGGAGGGGAAATCACCCAGCCTTGCACTGATGCCACTTTTGCTAGAAAAAGGCCGTAGCTGGACCTGCCCCGCTGTCTATGCAAATGTGTAAATGCTCAGGGCCCCAGGTCGCCCTTGGCAGCCTGTTTGCAACGTGTCACTGTGAAGGGGGTGGGAGGGGAGCTTGGTTTTTAGTGAGGAGGTGCGGATGGCATATTGATTGTAAAGCCAAAGAGCCTTGGGTCTCTCGTCTGTGTGCCCTTGGGTGACTCTGCACGCTGACCGCTGACCCGGAGCCCCCTGGGGTTTGATGAGAGTGGCTGGCTGGGGGCCCGGCACAAGGACTTTCTCTGGGGTTTTGTTCATTTTGGAAGCAGCTGTGCCCAGGAGGTGAAGTCCCCTTTTTACCCCTGCTTCTCACGTGGCCTCACCTCCCTGTGTGAACTGTAGACTCAGATCCTAATAAAGTACTGTTGGAGCTGTGGCATTGGGTGGGGCTCTGTCACCCAGGCAGTTTCGAAGCCCAGGGGACATCCCATACCCAATGCCTGATGGTAGTGCTCACCCCTACCTCCCTGAAACCCTCTCCTCCTCGCCTTCACCTCCCAGCAGACTCTAGGCCCTCCGGGCTGGGCCCTCTTGTTTTGCTCCTAGCTGCCTTCACTGCACCCCTGAGAGATGCAGAAAAAATGCATGTTGGTTTCGGAGTCCAAGCCTTGGGCTCACAGCCAGGCTGAGTGATCTTGGGCAAGTTAGTCTCTGGGAACCTTGGGTTTCTTATTCTCCAAAAAGGAGATTGGAGGGCTGGGGAAGAGGTTAAATAAAGCCACGTAAGCAAGACGCCTGTTCTGTTTTTGGCCCTCCAAAGTCATTGCCTTCTTTAGAGCAGGGCGTGGAGGAGGGGAGAGCCTCTCCTTGCTGGCTTCTGGGGTGGGGAGGTGGGGGCCACTAGGTGGCAGCTCAGCTCTACATATGCTCCTGCAGTATTCCTCCATGACTCACTCCCCCCAAATGTCAGCCCACCCCGTTGACCCAGGGGCTGCTCCACTGACCAGCTCTCCAGAGAAGAACGGGATCCCTCTTGGCTCCTCTTTAGAAAGCCCTTCCTGGGATCTAACCTCAATTCTTTGGCAGCACACTGGACATCTTTACTTTTGGGGTTGGGGTTTGCTATAGGATGTGTGTGCTCGCTGGAGAGACAGAGACAGAGACAGAAAGTGAGAAATCACCCACTGAGGGAGATGGTCACACTTCAATCCTTTCTCCTCCATTCTCTTCTCGGGATTTTGGGCATGCACGCACATGCGCCCAGTGTTTCAAGCTGCTGGGTCTGGGACTTGAACTACAGTCAGCCATATGGGAGTCCAGCGACATAACCAATACGCCATCTACTGATCCCTGACATATTTTTTTAAAAGTGTTATTTCCATTGTTTTATTTTCAGAGGTCCTTTCCCTCCAGTCCTGAGGACTAGGCGTCTCTCACAGGCATTGGTGGAGGTCGTGGGTTGCATCACAGGTTTAGATCACAGTGGGGTGCCGGGTCCTTCCGGGCCTCACCGGATCCGTTCCCCACCACCTTGAGGTGAATGACACAACTCTTGGTCATGCAACTTCACACACATCTTAGGAAGCACACAGGCCTCAAAGCACCATTTGGGATGTGTCCCTGGTGGCTGTGGCCTCCACTGTGCTTCGAATGGCAGACTCAACGGCCTTGTCCTTGGGCACACGTCGGGTGGTTTGTGCAGCGGTTGCACCACACATGGCGAGGTGAGGGCCTGCACTGGGCGTCCTGACAACCCCGGACGTGGCGACTGCTCTGGCCAGGTCCGTTATGGAGTGGAGGGTTGGCTGCAGGCTCTAGAGGGGCTGGAGTTGATTTCTGTATTACAAGGGGACTTCAAAAAGTGGGTGGAAAGGGGAATTAAAGTTGATTTGGTGCAAAACCTTTAAAAATCCATGCATAGTTTTTTCTCTTTTTTTTGAGAGGTTTTTGCTATAGGGCATGTGTGCTTGCCAGAGAGACAGAGAGAGACAGAGAGATAGAAAGTGAGAAATCACCCCCCAGGAGGGTTGGCCATGCTGCAATCCCTTCTCCTCCATTCTCCTCTCGGGATCTGGGGCATGCATGCACATGTGCCAGGTGTGAGTTTAAGTCACCAGGTTTGGGACTCAAACTGTGGTCGACTACATGGGAGACCAGTGACATAACGATTGACCCAACTGCTGGTCCCTCGTTTTTTCATAATATACATCTTCTGAGGACTTTTTGAAGACCTCTTGTATTCCCCCCCCCTTTTTTTTTTAAATTTTTTTTGCTCATAAAGTGTGTGTGCTTGCTGGAGAGAGAAAGTGAGAAATCATCCCCTGTGGGTGATGGCTGTGCCACAGTCTCTCCTCCCCCTTTCTCCTCTTGGGATTTTGGGGGTGCACACATGCTCCAGGAGTGATTTTTAGGCTGCTAGGTCTAGGACTCGAACCTCAGGGTCAGCCATGTGGGAATCTGGCGCCTTAACCACCACACTGCCTGCTGGTCTCTTTGTCATTTATCCTCTATTTGCGGGTTGGGAGGAACAAGTTCAGGCTGGCTTCAGGCTGCAGCTCAGCTTTGGTGGCAGCCCTGTGGCCTGCTGCCACTCACGAGGAAACCTGGCGTTGTGCTGTGTTCATGGCCGCCCCTCTGTGGGTGCTCCGGGTTCTGGCTGCCTGACCAGCTGCCTGGTCGGCCTGGGTTACTGAGGGAGAGGTTCAAGCCAGATGGTAGGCGGCAGTGGGTGTCATGGGGCTGGGCCTCAGGGATGCAGAGGAGAGGGACACAGACTGGCCTCCCTGGGTTCCCACGTGGTGTTGATTCTCTCTGGCCTCTTGGGGCTTCTCAGTTCATTTCTTTTTCCTTCCTTCCTTCCTTCCTTCCTCCCTCCCTTCCTTTCTTTCTTTCTTTTTTTTTTCTCTTTAATATTGCTGGAGTGTATGTAAGTTTGCCAGAGAGAGGGAGAGAGAAAGCGTACCCAGTGGGCTGCAATCCCTTCTCTTCCATTTCTCCATTCCGGCAGGACTTTGAGCGTGCAAACACATGGGCTGGCGTGTTTCCTAAGCCGCAGCGGTTTAGATTTGAACCATGGTTGGCCATGTAGGATCCGGCTCCCTTAACCACCAGACCATGGGGCTGGCCCCTCCCAGTTTCAGTTCTGGGGCCCACTTCCTTCATTTGCATAATGAATGTCAGGGAGGCTGGAGGTTCCCCGAAGCCCTCTCCTCTTCGTCACCCACTCAGGAAGTAGATATGCAGAGCTGGGGGTTTCTAAAACTGCCAAGTCAGGGAGAAAAAGGGAGCCCTGACCCCAAGGGTGTGTTGGGGAAGGCCTGGATATCAGGGCACTGGCCACTCAGATGACCCTGCCTCTGGGATTCCCTTGGGAGCTGGTCCTCACAGCCATCGTAGGTCATGAGGCCCCGCCCCACTACACCCCTGCATTCACAGCGACACTGTGGAGAGGAGGCGTTCCTGACCATAGAGCTGGTGTGTGGAGACGAGGGGTCACACACTCCTGCCTCCTCCCTGGGGCTCGGGAGGGCTGGGTGAGCTGTGGGCAGGCCCCTGGGCCCAGCCACACATCCCTGTGCAGCCTCGCCAGGGCTGGACTGGGCTCTTCCACTTCAGGCTCTTGGCATTCCTAGCGCTCTCTGCTGAGAACCCCGGAAGGGGCCTGCCATCCTCAGCTCTGGGGTGTCTCGTGGGGATTGCTGGAGTTGGGGGTGGCCTGGCTGGCCTTCCACTCTTGAGTAGAAAAATTCTCTTTTTTTTAAAGAATTATTTTATGTGACTATTTATTTGTTTTAATTTGACCAGAGAAGGACAGAGAGTGAGAGAGAGGGACAGAGAGAGAGAAAGGGAAAGTGAGAAAGCAAGCTGCCAGGTCCGAGACTCAAATCATAGTCGGCCACTAACCACCCTTAACCACCACACCACCTGCCGGCCCCAGCAGAAATTGCGTTAAAAATTTATTTCTTTTGTGTGAGAGAGAGGCAGAAAAAGGGGGCTGGGGAGGAGGTACTGCAACAGGCTCCTCAGGCCTCAGTACACCCCCAATGCCAGCCAGCATCATGGGCACACACGCACGCCTGGCATCAAGGAGGCCCTGGGACACGAACCGGGGACCTTCCCACTGGGTCCAGTGCAGAGCATTGCTTTACTGCTGTGCCACCAGCTGGCTCTCAAACAGAGAAATTCTATTTCCTTTGAGTGATCCCCAAAACTCTTACCAGGGATCCCCCAGTACGCCACCCTCCCTCTCATCCTTGCCTCTCAGTATTTGGCCCCTGCCTGGTCTGAGGGCTTCTCAGCTGTCTCTCCACCAGTGTCCTCAACTCGGCCCTCCACCTCCTCCAGGCTCTCCCCTCCTCTCCCTGCCCCCCCAGGCCCTCAGGCCCTAGCCTTCCCCTGCTGCCTTCTGCTCCTGCCTGTCCTGGGTGGAGGTGGGGTGAGGGGTGGTCATAGCTAGCTGCTGGTGGTGGGTCACCTTCAGGCCTGACACCCCATTAGCTCGTGCTCCTTTTGAGAACCACTCCCAGCCTCTTCTGTTGGGCCCAAGGACAGTGCTGGCCTGGCTGGCTGTTGCTATGGGAACCTCCCAGGGCCACCCTACTGCAGACCGTGTCCTCAGCCAGCGGCCCTGTTCTGGCCTGCAGATGTTCTCGGTCCCTTCACACACTCACAGCAAGCACTGGCAGGGACTCTGCAGGGTGGACGTGGGGAGCCCTAAACCCAGACAACGGGTCCTTCCCCTTCCTACTTCCCACTCGGCTGCCTGAGCCACAGAAGCCCCTTGTAACCACTTCAAACTGACTTTGATCTGAGCAAGGTCTGAGGTCAGAAACCCCAGAGTCAGGTCTCCGCCACTCCCTACCCGTGGGCCTTGGGCCACAGCCCTCCTCGCTGAGGGCTCAGCTTCCTCATGTTTAAAGGGGAGACCTTGACCCCCTCATAGGATGTCCTGGGAGTCACTGCAAGTAGATGAGAAGGCTTTGCAAGCAGTAGTTCTGTTTTGATAATGGTGACTTAGCACCGGGAAGGAACCTGGGGGCCTCTGTGAGCCGTTGGGGCAGGACGGCAGAGTATGGGGTCCCCAGACCATGTAGCAGGGTCTGGGCAGGAGATGCTCATTGGCACTCGAGTCTTGACGCCGTGCTACAGGTACAGTGTTCCTGCCCCTGGGGCTCACTGGATTTCCTGAGTTTAGTGCAAAGTAGAGTTTTATTATTTTAAATTTGCTACAGAGCACATGTGCTTGCTGGAGAGTGAGAGAGCGAGCGAGAGAGAGAAAGTGAGAAACCATGCCCCAGGACAGATGGCCACTCTGCAATCCCTTGTCCTCTCTATGCCCCTCGGGATTTTATTATTATTATTTTATACATTTGATCAGTATACATCATTTGGCTTGCGAAGAGAATTTACCCTACATGAAGTACACCTCAGACCAGTCCAGTTGGGAATACTATACACGTTAGCATCAACAGGTAATAAACCATTACTGTGTCCCACAAATGTCTCGCCTCTCTATTTTCCTCCTAATTTCCTTCCCTATATGCTTACCCTCTTCCTCTTGGGATTTTGAGCACACATGCACACGCATTGGGCATGTTTTTCAAGCTGCCGGTTTCAGGACTTGAACCACATAGTCAGCCATGTGGGACCCAGCACCTTAACCACCATACCACTTGTTAGCTTGCAAAGCAGAATTTATTTTTATTATTTTTAGAGAGATTTTTGCTATAGCATGTATGTACTTGTTGGAAAGACAGAGAGAGAGAGACAGAAAGTGAGAAATCACCTCCCGG